AATTAAATTGAAGATTTGTCCACAAAGTATATATATATATATATATACATGTTTATTTGGATACAATAGATTTTTTTTAATGAATATATATATATATATATATATATATATATATCAACAGTTTTGTGAGTGTTATCTTAGATAAAAATAGCAAATTCTAATTATAACTAATATTATTTTTACTAAAATTACTTAAATGAATTACTTTCGATTGAACGAAAGTTAATATAATCTTAAGATACATTTATTAAATTAGCAATAATTTTATTGTGCAAAAGTAGAAGTCGTTTTTTATCTATAAAATATACATTAAATATATATATATATATATATATATATATATATATATATTTAGTAGAATTTCCCTAAGTTTTTTCTTTACACATATAATTAGAGTATATAATTGAGTCGAGAAAGCTTCAATTGCTTTTACAATATAAAGTATAGTATATAAGAATATAGAAATAAGCAACTCTATCTCTAATTCATAAAAATAAAATATAATTTGTAATATTCAAAGTAATTCCAATTATTATATAAAAATACAATTATAATAATTATTATAAACAATCGGTAAAATTGAAATTTAAAATCTTGACATAATGTGACCATTTTTATTTAATTAAATTATTGCGTAATTTACACATATTTGTTTGCCTACGATGATTCATCACAGTTTGAAGTACAAACAATGGGAAATGAGAAATGGGACTCATTAGTCATTTTATCCACTTAAGTCTTATAACTATATGTTACCAAACACATCTATAAAAATTACAGCCAATAGTCATCTGTTTTAGATTATACTTGTATTGTAAATAAAACAAATTAAAATGTTAACATTATAATTTTGATGTAATTTTAAAGTTAGACATTTCTCGACACGATAAATCAAATAGATAATTATAGTTAGACGATCTTTCATTCCATTTGTAACAATAAAAAATTGAGAAACTCGATTTAAAAGTGCTTGTTACGGTTTGATGATTATGCACGCTTTGAAAGTTCAAAAACTATCACCCCTATCGATAGCAGTAAAAAACTTTGCTAAATTGTGCTATTCGAACTGTCAACTAGATATTAGAAGCTTTGGTCATGCGGATAAATCGTGTTTATCCTATATTGATTGGTAAATTAATGATGACACATTCGTTAACTCTGGTTTAAGCTGCTCACTTTAGCCTAAAAGTGTAGTCGGTCGAACACATTTAAGTCTTTGATGGAAAGAACAAAGTAGTCGTTTACATGGAAAAAAAATTGCTTACTCGATTGTAGCGAAATGAAAATTTCATATAAATATCCCGTCACGAATGACATTTATTAATATTATATATACCGTTAATATTTTTTTCTTTTAAAATTCACTAGATTAAAAATTACCAAATCAATTTACATTATTAAATTGTATTATTTATTATTATTTAATTTGATTTTATGTCTACTTTCTCTAGAAAAATACAATGCTATTAATTTATGTATTTAAAGAAAAAAAATAGCAGAATCTTGATTAAACCATTAATTTTATTAGTTTTGTTACTTCTTTATTATTCACAAATTGTGAAAATTGTATACGTCACGTCAATGTTCATATTTTTATAATATTCGTTCATATTGAAAACTGCATGCACAGATATTGCTGGAAATCCCTTTCACCCTCACCCCTCCACCCCTCACTCTCTCTCTCTCTCTCTCTCTCTCTCTCTCTCTCTCGCTTTCTTTCTCTTTAAAATTCTGATGTTCAGACCATTCCAGTTCAGGTTCAATTTTCTTTGTTTCTCAAACAATTCTCGATTATAATAAATTATCACTATTCCCTTTCCAAATTTTCAATATCCCTTTCCAAAGTTTTCAATGTTTTATGCTCTTTATTCATAAAAAATTGCTTATTATAGATCACAGTTTGATGAACAAAATGGAGAAAAATTATTTTAAAAATCTTTAATTTATACTTTACATTTTTTGATTATTAAATCATAATTATTTTATGCTACGTTATTTTACATTTTATGTTTTCTGTTTGATATTTTTAAAAATTTTGTGACTAATAATATTGAAAAGTGTAATCAATTTACAATTCAAAATTTTAATTTAACATCAATATCAAATTAATGTTGTGCATTTTTGAAATGGTAGTGTATTATTATTACCTGTTTAAAAAATTTCATGAAATCCTACTTTTATGCTTAATAATTTTTTTCATAAGTTTTTAATAGTAGACGAAAATTTCCATACTTATGAAATTCACTCTAATAAAACAAAAATAAACAAAATAATACAGAACATAAATTATGGTATCTCGAATATGCAAAATAAAACTTAACGCTTACACGATTCAGAACAAAAAAATTTGTGCGTAAAAAGCTGTGTGATATCTGTTTTATATTTAAATGGTAATGATCGAGTTTTATAATATCCTTCCCTCTCCCCTGGAATATATCGACTCCTTTGTTTTTATTTATTTCAAACTAAATAAAATGCTTAATTATATATATTATTATTTATAATATATGAATGTATTTCCTTCCATACGTAATACTTGTTATTACAGAATATATCATTTTAAATTTTATATAGATTATATATCGAAGGATTTGCATTTATTCCAAGATAAAATGCATATTTTAATAAATAATTTGTTCAATTTGAATTTTTCCTTATAATATAAGAATAAGATTTTATTCAATGGTAAATAAAACTTACGGACAAGAATTTATTTTATATTATTATTTAATCATAAATATGTGATGACAATGATCATTCGAATTTTATTTCTTTAAGAAGTTCTTGGATTTATTTTAATTATACTATTAAAATAAAATTTCCTTATATATACAATATAAACAATTTATACTATATTTACAAATTTTACTTTCAAATATTTAAAATTTTAATAATTAGTTTTTTTTAATAACTCGTATAATTGAAGAAAATTTTTTCTGCACTGTAGAGTTAGAGAAAAATATTTTATTTCATTATATATATAAGTGATATTTATATTTATACTTATCGTGTAAATGGAATAACAAATTTCATTTATCATTGTATTAAAAAAAAAAAAAAAAAAACATAATAATAATACCAAAGAAAATTCAGATTCCTGTAAAGGTAAAATTTAATTTTTAAATAAACACAATCGCAAAAAATATATTGTACATAATATAGAATAAAAAAAAAAAAGTCACAAAAAAATTGCGAAAAGAGCGAAAAAAGCAAAAAGTTCAATACGTTAGAATTAGGAAATATACAAGAAGTGAAGAAGGAATTTATGGAGAATTTCGTTGAAAGTCATGAATATTTCACACATTGGTGCTCCCAGAACCTTGGAGGGTATATTAGAAAAGAATCTAAAGTGAGAAGTTCGAGCTGGAGAATTACGTCCTTAAGAATTAGCCAAGACTTTGCAATCTTGTTATTGGACATTTGAAAAATAAAACAAATTGCTTTATTAAAGTATTTTCTTAATTAGTTGACTTCGGTCATTGTCCTCTCTTCTGCACTAAATTCACGTTGAGATCAGATGATTAGGTTATTGCACCGAGGCGAAACGCATCGATTCTTTACCCTCCACGTAGATTCGCATTTAGGTTTGCTTGCTAATTTATGTCCCAGAGAACGAAAATATGAATTCTTTATCCTAAATTAAATTTAGTATTCAGGTTTAGCGCTTGACCTACAATCCTGTGCGGTGACCTACCAAAACCATTAAGATATTATCCAACACCAAAATCCTTGTTGTTGAAGTTTGATTATTTTTAATTTATTGCCCCAAGACCGAATGTATTAAATAACTCATTTTCAATAAAATGAGCAATGAATTCTAACGATATAATATTTTACCTTTATAAGTGAGACTATCGTGCGATTAAAAATGGTGAGCTTATTTCAATTACGTTAGAATTTCATAGGAATAGGAATAAATTTTTCATGTAAGATAATTTTTAGATATCAAGAGAATATTTTCGAATATTCATTAAATAAAAGAATGAAGCATAATATATAATATATTATTTCGAATGATTAATAAATATTTAACTTTGATAATGTATTTGATATTATTTGATAAATGTAATATTGGGAGTTTACTATATATATAGACAATTATCTATGCTCGTTAGCACTTTAACACTTGTATTCCCTTATTGTAAATAAGTTTTGATTGAATAAGTATTTATAAAATGGAGAAAATTGTGTCTTTTTATAATAACATATGAACATGACTGCATAGTAAATCAATATTTTTTAATTAAAATGTTTCATACGTATAAATTTCTTTATAGAAATATATACATATCTTTTATTACCGGATAGCAAAATATGACGCAATGCGTATTCATATATATATATATATATATATATATATATATATATATATATATATATATATATATATAATTAAGAAAATGTTTTTTTCT